CACATGCCGCGGAGCGGCTGGGCCCGTGAGCCATGGCCGCTGAGCCTGCGCGTCCGGGAGCCTGTGCTCCGCAACGGGAGAGGCCACAACAGTGAGAGGCCCGTGTACTGCAAAAACAAAAAACAAAAAAACAAAAAAAACTATTCTGAGGGCCTCCACATGCAAAAAAGAAAAAATCCAGATACAGACTTTACACCCTTTACAAAAATTAACTCAAAATGGATCATCGACCTAAATGTAAAAATGCAAAACTATAGAACTCCAGGTAGATAACATAGGAGAAAACCTAGATGACCTTGGGTATGGCGATGATATTTTACTTTATTTATTTATTACTTTTTAAATACATTTATTTATTTTTATTTTTGGTTGCGTTGGGTCTTCGTTGCTGTGTGTGGGCTTTCTCTAGTTGCGGCGAGTGGGCCTCTCATTGCAGTGGCTTCTCGTTGCAGAGCACGGGCTCTAGGCGGGGGGGCTTCAGTAGTTGTGGCACGCAGGCTCAGTAGTTGTGGCTTACAGGCTCTAGAGCGCAGTCTCGGTAGTTGTGGCACAAGGGCTTAGTTGATCCGCAGCATGTGGGATCTTCCCAGACCAGGGCTGGAACCGGTGTCCCCTGCATTGGCAGGCGGATTCTTTACCACTGTGCCACCAGGGAAGTACCATCGATGACATTTTAGATATGGCACTAAAAGGCATGATCTGTGAAAGAAAAAATAGATATGCTGGACTTTGTTAAAATTAAAAAACTTCTGTGAGAAAATATTGCAAAAGACACATCTGATACAGGATTGCTATCCAAAATATACAAAGAACTCTTCAAAGTCAACAATAAGAAAACAACCAGATTAAAAAAATGGACCAGAGACCTCAACAGATACCTCACCAAAGAATATAAAAAGATGCCAATACGCACGTGAAAAGATGTTCCACATCATCTGTCATCAAGGAAATGCAAATTAAAGCAATGATGAGTGGGGAAGGTCATCACCCTTTCCCTATACATTGCCCTGTGCATCTCTTCCATCTGGATGTTCCTGGGTTATATCCTTTTATAATAAACCTCTAATTTTAGTAAGTAAGGTGTTTCTCAGTTCTGTAAGCTGTTCTAGCAAATGAATCGAGCCTGAGGAGGGGGTTGTTGGAAACTCTGAAACACCAATGATGCATGTATAGTTAAGTTATTCATACATTTAACAATGTTTTGACTGTCAGCTTATATGTTAAGCCTGTGCTAAGACACTGATAAACAGGAAAGATGAGGTCTCTGCCCTCCTATAGACTTCTAAAAAATTTTAAAAAATATTTATTTGGTTGCGTTGGGCGGGCTCCTTAGTTGCAGCTTGCTGGCTCCTTAGTTGTGGCATGCGAACTCTTAGTTGTGTCATGCACGGGGGATCTAGTTCCCTGACCAGGGATCGAACCCAGGCCCCCTGCATTGGAAGTGTGGAGTCTTAACCACTGCACCACCAGGGAAGTCCCTGCCCTCCTATAACTTTTTTGTCTGGGAGCTAACTTGTAAACAAGAAAACAAAAAAGAGCAAGGTAGTTTGACAGATACAGAAATACAATGAGAGAATAATAATGATAATGGTAGCTAACGCTGAGTGCTTTCTTGGTGCCAAGCACTATCCTAAGCAATTTGCATAGATTGCATCATTTCATCCTTATGATAACCCTATGAGGTGGGTGCGGTCGTCACCCCCATTTTATAGATGAGGAAGCTGAGGCACAGAACGATTGAGAAACTTGTCTAAGGTATTAGAGCTAGTAATTGAGGATTGCTGAATTTGAACCTAAGCATATGGATAGAGCAGGGTGATGTCATAAAGGAAAGGATCGAGTGGGACTGTTGCTCTGAGGAGGGAATACTGACTGCTGAGTCTGCTGGACAGCAGCTGCATAAAATAGCAGTGAAGAGCATGGGCTATGGAGGCAGACTGTCCCAGCTGTAATGCTAGCCTGACTTCTAGTTGCTGAGAGACTGAATATACAAATAGACAACGGCCAGATCATATATGAAAACAGAACTCTGATCCACAGCCTGCAGCAGCCTGCCCAGAAAACCAGACCCCTTATCTATAATAAACAGCTCAGCACTGATCAGTATGGCCATCATCAAAAAGTCTACAAATAATACATGCTGGAGAGGGTGTGAAGAAAAGGGAACCCTCTTGCACTGTTGGTGGGAATGTAGATTGATACAGCCACTATGGAGAACAGTATGGAGGTTCCTTCAAAAACTAGAAATAGAATTATCATATGATTCAGCAATCCTACTCCTGCACATATATCCAGGGAAAACCATAATCCGAAAGGATACATGCACCCCAATGTTCACTGCAGCACTATTTACAATAGCCAGGACATGGAAGCAACCTAAATGTCCATCAACAGATGAATGGATAAAGAAGATGTGGTGTATATATACAATGGAATGTTACTCAGCCATAAAAAAGAATGAAATATTGCCATTTGCAGCAACATAGACATAGAGATTTTCATACTAAGCGAAGTAAGTCAGACAGAGAAAGACAAGTATTCTGTGATATCGCTTATATGTGGAATCTAAAAAAATGATACAAATGAACTTATTTGCAAAACAGAAACAGATTCACAGACATAGAAAACAAACTTACGGTCACCAAAGGGGACAATGTGGGGGAGGAATGATAAGTTAGGAGTTTGGGATTAACATATACACACTACTATATGTAAAATAGATAAAAAACAAGGATTTACTGTATAGCACAGGGAAATTTATTCAATATCTTGTAATAACCTATAATGGAAAAGAATCTGAAAAATATATATATTTATAACTCAATCACTTTGCTGTACAAGTGAAACTAACACAATATTGTAAATCAACTATACTTCAATAAACAAACAAAAACAGCTCAGGAAGCCAGCCTGCTATAAGGCAGGCTTGTAGGAAGTAACAATCCAAGGGGCCAAATAATAACCCCTACAACAATAGGTCCAAAAGGGCCAGGACTTGATTAGTAATTCACAACTCTACTAATTTTTGTCCCCACTTCCAATTTAGGACCAAGAAAAGAAAGCCAAATATATACCCCAACCAATCGCATAGGGTACCTAACTTCTAGTCTGCCCATGTCTAGCTTCTCCATGACGACAGCCTCCAATCTGGGACACCTGAAGCCTTTCCTTTTTTCTGCTATATAGCTTTCCCACACCTCTGCCTGCCTTTGAGTCTCTGCCAAAACATGAGTGATGGTGACTGACTCCCTTACGCTGAATAGATAGCCTTTGCTTGTTCTCATCCGGTCAGTCTTAATTTATTTCCACTTTGTGCAGTCTTGGGCAAGTTCTGTAACCACATTTTGGTGCCTCAGTATCTGCCTCTATAAAATAGGACAATAGTATTAGTGCTCCTTAAGCAAGCATCTATAAAAGTATTACTATCAGGGAGGGCAACTTCTCTGAGAGTCCTCCTTAAATATGTATTAAGTAAATTAACATATGTAAAGTTCTGAGAACAGGGCCTGATACGTAGTAAATATTCCAGAATGTCACCTGTTACTATTTTTAGTGATGGAAATCATGGGTCACACGAATTAAAAACAAAACAAAACAAAAACAAACAAAAACAAAAAACCCATAAGGTGTTTAGCCCAAAGCCTAGCACATTTAGAGTGCTCATTAAATATTATCTAACAGCGATAAAGAAAGTCATTGGTGTGAATGGGATTATCCCAGAGAGAAAAGGACTAGAGGAAATAATCCTGTTTGAGAGGAAGATGTTGGCTGAGGAGATCAAAAAACAATGTATAAATTGCTCCAGGTTTATAACAAGAGGTGTCAGAACATTTTCCCTGTTCTGGAAACCCAAAGGAAACCTCAGGGTGTAAACTGCTGTCTTTGATAAAGAGGCACAAAGGCTTTTAATCATTGGGTCTTAAGTTTAAAAAAAGTCAGTCCCCTTCTTAAAGAGGCTTCCCTGACCATCCTATCTGGAGTACCATTTTTCCTCAGTCATTATCAGTAATTTATTTTCTTCAGAGCACCACTCTGAAATGATCTACTTTATTATTGTTTTTTCCCTGTTCCCCTAAGGCTCAAAGCTTCACGAGTAGAGGATTTGTTTTAGGGTTCAAAAGCGCAGACTGGCTTCTGGCTGTGCTTCGGGTTGACATTCTGATATGAAAAATGATTTTTTTCATTATTCATGGATATAACATTTATCTTCTGGAAGGAGCTTTGATTTCGCACAGCTCCAACCGTCTGGGGATCTTTTCACAGAGACGGAGCCGGCTGAAGTCTAGTGGTGGTGGCGGTGAATACTCCAACTTTATACCGCGACTCAGAGGCTAGCTGACGGCACTTAAGTAACCACCCGAGGGCGGAGAGGAGTCCTCACTTCTCACCGGACGATGCTCCGACACCTTGTCGGCTAGAGACGGGGTCCTCCCAACTTAGCACGCCGCTCTGGCCCAACCTCTCGTCTCTATTGCTTTATCCGCCCGCCAACGTCTTTTCTGATTGGTGCAGGCGGGCGCTGTGCGTGATGACGTCACAAGACGGCGGCGCTGCTATAAAAACGCGGCCGGGGGACGCGTGTATCTCTTTCTCGGTTACCGGAGGGGGCGAGTAGGTGAGGTGTACTGCTGTGTTTTTTATTCCGGGTGTGGGTTGTAGGGTCTTGCGGGCCATCCGAGCTTTAATGAGTTCGCTAAAGAAGATGCAGGTGAGATGAAAGTGGTTGGAGAGTAGTGGGAATGGTATTGGCTATAAAAGCTTGAGGGACGGTTCTCGCGATATTTTCCTGGGCTCCGCGAGGTTCTTCTACCTGAGTTGTGGGACTGCGCAGGCGCTGCTCCGAGTCTTCACTGTTCACTCTCCTTTCCGCACAGACGGGCAAGTAGAGCCAGCATGCCGGTGGCCCGGAGCTGGGTTTGTCGCAAAACCTATGTGACCCCGCGGAGACCCTTCGAGAAGTCCCGCCTCGACCAAGAGCTGAAGCTGATCGGTGAGTGATTAATGCAGGGTTTCTGCTTCCCGGGCCGGGGAAGCTAACACGTGGGTGAGGCCGTCCACGTGCTCATTCTGCTGGAATCCCTCCGGTGTGTCCCCCTCCCTCTTCCCCAAATTCGGGATCATTCGCTGTTTAGATTTTCTGTACCCCGAAACCACCAATCCTTTTCACTAGTCCGTGGGACTGTACTTGTTCGCCCATTCTTTGCAGGCGAGTATGGGCTCCGGAACAAACGTGAGGTCTGGAGGGTCAAATTTACCCTGGCCAAGATCCGCAAGGCTGCCCGGGAGCTGCTGACGCTGGATGAGAAAGACCCGCGGCGTCTGTTTGAAGGTGTGATGGGAAACATTGGGCTTCAGTTTCCTCTTGATTAGAACTAACAGTGTTCAGCAAGCTTGGCCACCTGGCTCTAGCTGTACACAGTGTAGCAAAACAGTACTGCTGCTTATGTGTCTTGTTCACTGGGGGTGGGAATAGACTGAAATTTCTAAAATGTTGGATGGTTCTAGCAGGGAGGGAGCTTTACTGCGTACATTTGCCTGTTTTAACATGGTGGTCAAGGACATTTTACTCAAGGTCTGAACAGGAGAGGACCTGTGGATTTCACAGGGAAGAACATTTCAGGTGATTTTGGACAGGGTACAGATCATATAGTAATCACTGACTAAAAAAATTGTGGTAAGGTACACGTGACAGAATTTATCATCTTTTAGACTCTTAAAGTTCTAAATTTCTACTTTGAGATGGGGAGGGCTTTTGGAAGGAATGATTGACATGATCAAATTTTAGTAGGACTTCTTAGATTGTCAAGTGGCAAAAATATTAAGATAGCTGGTATTATGTAAGGCCCACTGAATGCCTTTTTCTAAGCTCTTGGTGTACATTATTTAATCTGCGCAAGCAGCCTCATAGCAGGTACTGATAATACTTTTTTGCAAATGAGCAAAGGGTCAGAGACGTCCCACCATAGGTGGGACTGGAGGGCAGGCTCCAGAGTTCAGGTGAGTTCAGCGATGGGGATGGAATGAGGATTCCAGGGGAAGCTTAGAGAACATCACCAAAAGTTGAAACAGTGTCTAAGTGTACAAAGTAATCAGTAGACTTGGTTAGTGTGTTCTACATTGTATCCTGGTGTGGAAGATACGTATGTACACACACACATGCATACATACATACAGTTTGTGATTCTAACAGATGTGAGTTTGGCTGTAGGTGGTTCTGTATCTTGTCTTTTTTTTTTTCTTGTTTATCTTTTTGTAACAGTTTTTATTGGGATAAAACTTACACAACATGAAGTTTACTCAAAGTGTCTACAGCTTGTTTTTAGTTGCCTCTAAAATTGGCCACTGCCTAGGTGTCATCTTGATAACTTGCTTTTGGCCTGTCCCTGGGAAATCTTGATTTCTGGTGAAAAGCAGGAGGGGCTGGGAAACCCGCCAGGCTTCCTTGGGCACCTCACTTTTTATTCTCAATCAGGGTTGCTAGTCTGATTTTTCTCCCAAACTGTGGCTAAGGAAGTGCTGTTACACTCCTCGCTGTTAAGCATGAGTGGTCATCCATATTAGAGGTTGAGAAAGGCTTGGAGCGTGTTTAACTAACTACCACACGTTTATCGCTTTTATCTGTCCTAGACCCAAGGATGTGAGAGGTTTTCATTCTTAAACTTTTGTTAGTTCATAAACTCCTTTGACAGTCTCATGATAATTGAGGAATCTCCCCCATGGACACTGGTATTGGGTGGGACTTTATCCCAGAGTCTGGGGGACAGACTGAAGCTGGTTCTGGTCTCAGGGGTAACTTGTTGAAGACAGAGATAATCACAGAGAAACTTAGGTGATAAGCAGTCATGTGACAAAGAGATGGCATAGGGCAGGGTGAGGGGCCAGTGTCCAGGGACTATTTGGTTTTCCCGGGTGGAAGTTGCAAGAGGGAAGCATCAGGTAGCACACTTTCTAGTGAATGAAGCTCTTTAGATTCCTGGGGTGGGGGAGGAGGAGCCTGCAAGCTCTCTGGCGTTAGCTCTGCTAGGCCTTGCCTCGCTTTGGATGCAGCCTTTCCCACTAAGGTGTTAGAGTCTCATCTGATAAAAAAGACTTACTGGTTCATTCAGTCCCTTACAGGTGTGAACTCCTTCCTTACACCAGCTTAAGGAGCACAGGTATTAACATCCATTTTTCACATTAGAAACTAAGGCACTTACAGGCTTGCCGCATGCCATAGTGACAAGGGCCCCTTTGCCACTGAGGTGCCCACTGGCTTACATTTTTTAAAAATTTATTGGTTTGGATTTTACATTTAAAAAACTGATTCTGGGGGGCTTCCAGTGGTTAAGACTCCACGCTCCCAATGCAGGGCCCTGGGTTCGATCCCTCGTCAGGGAGCTAGATCCCATATGCATGCCGCGACTGAGTTCGCATGCCACAACTAAGGAGCCCTCAAGCTGCAGCTAAGGAGCCGGCCTGCCTCAACTAAGACCTGGCACAACCAAATAAAAGTAAATAGATGGACAGATAGATAAAACTAGTCTAAAAAAAAGGAAAACTGATTGTTAATGCTTTGGCCAAATGGAGCCCATGTAACAATTTTTACTTGTTGGACATGATCCTGTTGAAGATGCAGTTTATCAGTGTTATTTTTGTCTTCATACCAAATAAGGTTTTTCCTGTATTGATGACCCTCCCCATTGTTTAAGGATGTAGGTGTTAATAGTAAATATGAAATATTTTGAAGTAATGCAGGTTGAATTATTGTCAAGTTTCTATTTTCTAATGTAAGGACAAAAAGGCATGAAGTGTCCAAACTGGTAGATAATCCCAAACTCACTTTTATTTACCTTTGAGTATGTTTTTATATTACTATTTGAATATCATGTCTGTGTTTTAAATTGAGGTATAATTTATAATTCATTATTATATTAGTTTCAGGTGCACATAGTTTTTTTTTTTAACTTTATTTATTTTTTTTAACATCTTTATTGGGGTATAATTGCTTTACAATGGTGTGTTAGTTTCTGCTTTATAACAAAGTGAATCAGTTATACATATACATATGTTCCATATCTCTTCTCTCTTGCGTCTCCTTCCCTCCCACCTTCCCTATCCCAGCCCTCCAGGCAGTCACAAAGCACCGAGCTGATCTCCCTGTTCTATGCGGCTGCTTCCCACTAGCTATCTACCTTATGTTTGGTAGTGTATATATGTCCATGCCTCTCTCTCGCTTTGTCACAGCTTACCCTTCCCCCTCCCCATATCCTCAGAGCCATTCTCTAGTAGGTCTGTGTCTTTATTCCTGTCTTACCCCTAGGTACTTCATGACTTTTTTTTTTCTTAAATTCCATATATATGTGTTAGCATACGGTATTTTTCTTTCTCTTTCTGACTTATTCACTCTGTATGACAGACTCATTACAAATAGCTCAATTTCGTTTCTTTTTATGGCTGAGTAATATTCCATTGTATATATGTGCCACATCTTCTTTATCCATTCATCCGATGATGGGCACTTAGGTTGTTTCCATCTCCGGGCTATTGTAAATAGAGCTGCAATGAATATTTTGGTACATGACTCTTTTTGAATTTTGGTTTTCTCAGGGTATATGCCCAGTAGTGGGATTGCTGGGTTATATGGTAGTTCTATTTGTAGTTTTTTAAGGAACCTCCATACTGTTCTCCATAGTGGCTGAACCAATTCACATTCCCACCAGCAGTGCAAGAGTGTTCCCTTTTCTCCACACCCTCTCCTGCATTTATTGTTTCTAGATTTTTTGATGATGGCCATTCTGACTGGTGTGAGATGATATCTCATTGTAGTTTTGATTTGCATTTCTCTAATGATTAGTGATGTTGAGCATTCTTTCATGTGTTTGCTGGCAGTCTGTATATCTTCTTTGGAGAAATGTCTGTTTAGGTCTTCTGCCCATTTTTGGATTGAGTTGTTTGTTTTTTTGTTATTGAGCTGCATGAGCTGCCTGTAAATTTTGGAGATTAATCCTTTGTCAGTTGCTTCATTTGCAAATATTTTCTCCCATTCTGAGGGTTGTCTTTTGGTCTTGTTTATGGTTTCCTTTGCTGTGCAAAAGCTTTGAAGTTTCATTAGGTCCCCTTTGTTTATTTTTGTTTTTATTTCCATTTCTCTAGGAGGTGGGTCAGAAAGGATCTTGCTCTGATTTAGGTCATAGAGTGTTCTGCCTATGTTTTCCTCTAAGAGTTTGATAGTTTCTGGCTTTACATTTAGGTCTTTAATCCATTTTGAGCTTATTTTTGTGTATGGTGTTAGGGAGTGATCTAATCTCATACTTTTACATGCACCTGTCCAATTTTCCCAGCACCACTTATTGAAGAGGCTGTCCTTTCTCCACTGTAGATTCCTGCCACCTTTATCAAAGGTAAGGTGTTCATATGTGCGTGGGTTTATCTCTGGGCTTTCTATCCTGTTCCATTGATCTATATTTCTGTTTTTGTGCCAGTACCATACTGTCTTGATTACTGTAGCTTTGTAGTATAGTCTGAAGTCAAGGAGTCTGATTCCTCCAGCTCCGTTTTTCATTCTCAAGATTGCTTTGGCTATTCGGGGTCTTTTGTGTTTCCATACAGATTGTGACATTTTTTGTTCTAGTTCTATGAAAAATGCCAGTGGTAGTTTGATAGGGATTGCATTGAATCTATAGATTGCTTTGGGTAGTAGAGTCATTTTCACAATGTTGATTCTTCCAATCCAAGAACATGGTATATCTCTCCATCTGTTTGTATCATCTTTAATTTCTTTCATCAGTGTCTTATAATTTTCTGCATACAGGTCTTTTGTCTCCTTAGGTAGGTTTATTCCTAGATATTTTATTCTTTTTGTTGCAATGGTAAATGGGAGTGTTTTCTTGATTTCACTTTCAGATTTTTCATCATTAGTATATATACGAATGTCAGAGATTTCTGTGCATTAATTTTGTATCCTGCTACTTTACCAAATTCATTGCTTAGCTCTAGTAGTTTTCTGGTGGCATCTTTAGGATTCTCTGTATAGTATCATGTCATGTGCAAACAGTGACAGCTTTACTTCTTCTTTTCCGGTTTGTATTCCTTTTATTTCCTTTTCTTCTCTGATTGCTATGGCTAAAACTTCCAAAACGATGTTGAATAAGAGTGGTGAGAGTGGGCAACCTTGTCTTGTTCCTGATCTTAGTGGAAATGCTTTCAGTTTTTCACCATTGGGGATGATGTTGGCTGTGGGCTTGTCATATATGGCCTTTCTTATGTTGAGGAAAGTTACCTCTATGCCTACTTTCTGCAGGGTTTTTATCATAAATGGGTGTTAAATTTTGTCAAAAGCTTTCTCTGCATCTATTGAGATGATCATATGGTTTTTCTCCTTCAGTTTGTTAATGTGGTTTATCACATTGATTTGCGTATATTGAAGAATCCTTGCATTCCTGGAATAAACCCTGCTTGATCTTGGTGTATGATCCTTTTGATGTGCTGTTGGATTCTGTTTGCTACTATTTTGTTGAGGATTTTTGCATCTATGTTCATCAGTGATATTGGCCTGTAGTTTTCTTTCTTTGTGACATCCTTGTCTGGTTTTGGTATCAAGGTGATGGTGGCCTCGTAGAAGGAATTTGGGAGTGTTCCTCCCTCTGCTGTATTTTGGAAGAGTGTGAGAAGGATAGGTGTTACACATAGTTTTATAGTTATAAAACTTGTGATGAGAAGTTTTAAGGTCTCATTGTGTTTTTGAGTTGCATTTTCCTGATGATTAATGATGTTGAGCACCTTTTCTTATGCTTTTTGGCCACCGGTATGTCTTTGGGAAAATGTCTATTCAGATCATCTTCCCATTTTTAATTGAGGTGTTTGTTTTTTGGGTTTTTAAAATAATTTTTTATAGATTTATTTATTTTTATTTATTTTTGGCTGCGTTGGGTCTTCGTTGCTGCTCGTGGGCTTTCTCTAGTTGCAGGGAGCGGGGGCTACTCTTCATTGCGGGGCGCAAACTTCTCATCTCATCGCGGTGGCCTCCCTTGTTGCGGAGCATGGGCTCTAGACGCTCTGGGCTTCAGTAGTTGTGGCTCGCGGGCTTAGTTGTTCCACGGCGTGTGAGATCTTCCTGGACCAGGGCTCGAACCTGTGTCCCCTGCATTGGCAGGCGGATTCTTAACCACTGTGCCACCAGGGAAGTCCATTTCTGCTCTTAAGTTGTATGAGTTCATTACATATTTTGGGTATTAACCCCTTATTAGTTACATGATTTGCAAATATTTTCTTCCATTCTGTATGTTGCTTTTCCATTTCGTTAATTTCTTTTGCTGTGCAGAAGCTTTTTTGGTGTGGTCCCACTTGTTGATTTTTGCTTTTTTTTTTTTTTGGTATGCGGGCCTCTCACTGCAGTGGCCACTCCCATTGTGGAGCACAGGCTCTGGACGCACAGGCTCAGCGGCCATGGCTCACGGGCCCAGCCGCTCCACGGCATGTGGGATCTTCCCGGACCGGGGCACGAACCTGTGTCCCCAGCATCGGCAGGCAGACTCAACCACTGCGCCACCAGGGAAGCCCTGATTTTCCTTTTGTAGCCTTTGCTTTAGGGTCAAATCCAAAAAAATTATCTCCAAGATATGTCAAGGACCTTACTGCCTAAGTTTTCTTCTAGGAGTTTCATGGTTTCAGGTCTTACGTTCAAGTCTTTAATCCATTTTGAGTTTCTCCCCCCCGCCCTGACCACACAGCTTGTGGGATCTTAGTTCCCCGACCAGGGATTGAGGAACCTGGGCCACGCCAGTGAAAGCACCCAGTCCTAACCACTGGACTGCCTGGGAATTCCCGATTTTGAGTTAATTTTTGTGTACAGGATAAGGTAGGGGTCCAGTTTCATTCTTGCATGTGACTTGTCCAGTTTTCCAGACACCATTTATTTATTTATTTATTTATTTATTTATTTATTTGCGGTACACGGGCCTCTCACCACTGTTGTGGCCTCTCCCGTTGCAGAGCACAGGCTCCGGACGTGTAGGCTCAGCAGCCATGGCTCACGGGCCCAGCCGCTCCGCGGCATGCGGGATCTTCCCGGACCGGGGCACGAACCCGTGTCCCCTGCATCGGCAGGCGGACTCTCAACCACTGCGCCACCAGGGAAGCCCCAGACACCATTTATTGACGAGACTTTTCTTTCCCCGTTATATATTCCTGGCTCCTTTGTTGTAAATTGACCATTAATTTGTGTGGGTTTATTTCTGGGATCTTCATTCTGTTCCCTTGATGTGTTTTTTTATGTCAATATCATACTGTTTTGATTACTCTAGCTTTGTAATGTGTATAGCTTTGTTCTTAAGATTGGCTTTAGCTATTCAGGGTGTTGTGGTACCATAAAAATTTAGGATTCTTTGTTCTTTTTCTGTGAAAAATGGCATTGGAATTTTGATAGGGATTGCATTGAATCTGTATATTGCTTTTAGGTAGTATGGACATTTTAACTATATCATTCCATTTATTTGTGTCTTTAATATTTTTCATCAGTGTCTTATATTTTTCATTGTGTAGGCTTTTTATCATTTATGCGGTTGTAAATGGGAGAATATCCTTGTTTTGTGTTCAGCATTTATTCAGTGCATATTATGACCTGGGGTGTTGGGCAAGGTATATAGTACATATAGTATGTTTCTCCATTTAGATACTGGTCTGCTAGGTTCCTGGTCTGCTAGGAAGACTTTGTCATCACAGTGAGCCATCTTTCCTTCAAGCTTTGCCTGGGGGCAAGGGAGGGGATGGGTGGTAATGGTGCTTTTACCGCAGTGTCAGTGTGTTAGTGATGATCCTGTGTGGTGATAAGGAGCTCAGTGAGTGTGAACCTGGGGAAGGGGGTTGCCCACAGCATCCCAAGAGCTGCCCTGAGTGGAGCTTTGGATGCCCGTGGACACGAAGTAGCGAGGCCCCCTGAGAGCAGAGTTGTGTAACAGGTAGAAGCTGACCTCTGCTGGATTGCTTTATGCCGGGCGTTGTTAGGTCCACACCATCTGTTTAGTAGGAAATCTCAGAATGATAAAACGGATGACATGTACTCAGCTTAAATGTACGCCCAGTCTTTTTCAGGCCTATAAGATTGGTTCTGATACTGTTCCAATATTATAGATGTGGAAGGTGGTTTAACCTCATTTGATTAGTAGGGCTTTGTTGACTCCAGAATATTAGCTCTTAGCCGCTCTGCTGTGTTACGGGAGGAATAGTTTAGGAACAGCAGCACTTAGACTTTTGCAGATGAATGCTAAGCCTTTCAAGGGGGTTGTCTCATTTACTCTTCCCAAAAACTCTGGAAGGTTCTTCCTTTTTCAGGTGAGCAGAGTTGTATGTAGCCACCTGCCTTAAGGTAGTGTGAGGATTCCGTTAGTCACCGTGGCTCATGTAATAGCATGTTGAATCCTGTATCAGAATTAGCTCTTACTTCCTACTTTGTCCCACCACCATGTTTGGAGGTGGAGGATTTGAACCCAGAAGTCTGAGGTCGGCCAGAATGCTGAGGCAGGCCTTCCTTCCCCTCTTACCAGGCAATGCCCTGCTGCGGCGACTCGTCCGTATCGGGGTGCTGGACGAGGGCAAGATGAAGCTGGATTACATCTTGGGCCTGAAGATTGAGGATTTCTTGGAGAGACGCCTGCAGACCCAGGTCTTCAAGCTGGGCCTGGCCAAGTCCATCCACCACGCCCGTGTGCTGATCCGCCAGCGCCATATCAGGTACCACCTCTGGGCTCCCTGAGTCTTCCCCACCCCATCCCCTCTGATGGTCGCCCTCACTAAGCCACTGTCCCTATCTCCTGTGCAGCCCTTGGAGGTGATGAAGGTGTGAGCTCCCCTTGAGGGTACAGATTGACCCCCTACAAACAGCTCACGGGGGAGCTGGGGGCAGCCTCATCCCCCCAGTAGCCCAGCGCAAGGGTCACTGCGGCCGGAGCCGTACACCTTGCGAAGGCTTCTACGAGGCGTGCAGGTAGCTGGACAGGTAACAGCCCTTGGTGTCCAGTTGAGAGGAGTCATTGGGGCTAACTGACTTGTGTGGGTTCGGCTGTGTAGGGGGCCCTTGTGGAGCCACTCCAGGCCCTGATCACCACAGTGCACTCTCCTGTTGGCCTTAATTTGGTGAGTTCACCACAGGCCAAGGTCTGATGCTCATGGTGGCAGCTGCCACAGTGAAGACCAGAGGCCAGATGGGTCTTTATCTGAGTACTCAGTTTACCCTTTGTGAATTGGGCCCCGTTCATGTGGCCCAGTTGAGCTGTGTAGTAAGTGGGCAGGATACATGCATACTGAATTTCTGCCGCAGCCTTTCGTTAGCCCTGTGACCCATAGGCAGGAGCCTCTCAACGTTGCTTGTCTGAAATGAAACAACCCCTGTCCTTTCGGGTTGCTGCTTCGAAGACAATGAAACTACACCTGCTTATAGAGCTCTGTGTGACACACAGTTGAGAATATTTGAAGTGTCTGGCACAGTTGTGTATTTGAAAAGCAGGTCTTGGGTTTATATGCTGCCACCTCACCTCATTCGCTCTGGTCTCGTGGGTTACTTCTGAATTGCTCTCTCCCTTCTGTGAGGTGTGAATGTAAAGGTGGATGCATTTGTGTGAGTTAGGTGATGCCTGAAAGCTCTCCGGAACACACAGTAGTTCTTTAGGATCAGGAGCCCTTCCTGTTTATTGCTTCAGAGTCAGTGCAGCTGTATAGCACCAGCCCTGTCAGCTGCAAAGCACAGGCAGAGGAGGGCAGCATCCTGTTCCCTGTCCAGCTCACCTGCCGTCCCCCCCCAGGGTCCGCAAGCAGGTGGTGAACATCCCGTCCTTCATTGTCCGCCTGGACTCCCAGAAGCACATCGACTTCTCCCTCCGTTCTCCGTACGGGGGTGGCCGCCCAGGCCGCGTGAAGAGGAAGAACGCCAAGAAGGGCCAGGGCGGGGCTGGAGCTGGCGATGACGAGGAGGAGGATTGAGCCCACCCAGCCAGGCCCGCCTGGGCTGATGGAGTGTAGTTTTCCAGTCAGATAATAAAACATCCACACTTCAGAAGTGGTGTTCATTGGTGTGCCTCTTTTCCTCCGTTCTCTGAACACAAGCCTTCTGTGATGGGAAGTGCAGGCTGCGTCCTTCAGCGGGTTTCCACACATGCACAGAGGGGCCAGATTGGCTTTGTTCAGGTGCTTGAGACCACCTGCAAGATGGTGGTCCTTTTTCCCTTAGGGCTGGGCTTCGGTGTCCTAACAAACATCTCTACACATAACTTATCACAGCAGGGAGACCAGTAGTGTTATGAGGAAGGTTCTTTGAGGCAAAACCAGAAGGAAATTCTCAGCCACCCATTTGCATGTGGGGCGAGGAGTCATTTCCAGGCAGAGGATGCAGGGGAACCCTGCCCCTCCCCCTGCATTTGGAGTTTCTGATGATATTCTTGGTGCCAAGGGAGGCAGGCTTCCCTTTTCTCTGTTTGAGAAGCTGCCTCAGGCAGGGAAGGAAAGGGCTTGGTCTCAGGAAATGAGGAACACTTGGAATTGAGCAGCCTCTGAGCAGCTGCAGCCACAGGGCACACTAGTCCCGGTCTGGGGGATTTGGGGGTGTGATGTAAGTGGCCAGCTTCACAGTGAGGGCTCAGGGTTCTTTGTGAAGTCTGAAGCCTGCAGAAGAATCCAAGTCCTCACAGCCCACTTGGGCTGGGTGGTAGGCCTCCCTCACCCCAAGGTGTTGATGGCAGTAGGGTCCTTGAGGTCAGGACCCTTGGTAGGGACCATAAAATCAGCTGTGATGTCCATGGAGTTCTGGAAGCAGTTGGCTTCCAGGAGGTCTCAGAAACTCCTGGTGGTTCATGTCAGGACTCCAGGCTGGCTGGAGTTCGGTATAAGCATTTATGGGGGCAGCTCCTGGGGGTCCCTGAAATCCGGTCCCTGGAGCGTGGGGTCTGGGTCCTTCCTGGGCTGGTGGATGGAGAGAGCAGCATATGCGCTGGGCTCTGCTGGGGGCTCCCCTGACTGGGGGGTAGGGGGTGCAGTCTCCCGTCTGAAGGGTCGAGTGGTTCAGCTGGGCATAGGTCACATCCTGGGGGGCTTCAGATGCGGTGGCCTGGCGTGGGGGAGAGGGAGGGAGGGTGGTTGGGTTGGGGAAGCCTGGGGGCCTGGGAGGAAAGGAGGCAGTCCTTGGTGGTCTTAGTCATCAGGGCTCTGCTGGAGACAGTGAGCGCTGGTCTCCGAATCTTTCCTTCCTTCAGTCCCTGTAGCTTTGAGCCTCAGGGAGGAGGGAAATGAAGGAAGTTGAAATTCCTGTGACTGGTGGCTGGTTGTGTAAGTTTGGTGCAGGGGAGAGGGCAGGACTGGAGATAGGAATTGGGTGTGGCGCCATCAACATGGAGGGACAGTGGGATGCCGCTGCAGCCTGGGAGCGAGCTAGGGTTCGCCACTGTGAAACAGGAGCTGATCCTCACCCGTTAACCAACGCTCAAGGTAACGCTGCTGGGCTTCACCCAACCTGGAACAGCCAAGGGACGAGCAAGTATTTTAGAATCCTCTGCAGTTTAGAAGGCATCCCCTCTGGGCCTCTCTGCAGCCCCAGGATTGGATTTAGCCCCTTTGTGGGGGGCACAGACTCTTAGCCCTAACCTTCAGCCCTGCCAGCTCGACCTGAGCATTCAACACCTTGAAGGTCAGAGGAGACCAGGTGTGGGGTTGCAGTAGCCCACAGGGCAGGTGCTTCCAGAAGGGAGAGGCTGCCAGGAGTTGAGTGGCGTCAGGGTTCAATGTCCGCTGGATTTAACGTCTGAACAAGGAGGTGTGGGTGCCCTGGTCAGGATTGGGGAAGCTGACCTGACCAGCTGCCTGCCATCCTCCGGCTGTGTCTTCCACGACAGCATCCAGTGGGGACAGAATGAGGGGGTCCCATCTCTTGCCGAGGTTCCCTGACATCTCACACAGCAGATGTCCAGAGAGGGTCAGTGATGTGGCCAAGGCCACACAGTATCAGATTCAAGCTCTCACATCTCCAAGCCCAGAACCCTTTCCAACCACTCCCTGGTGTCCACTGCCCACCCACATTGGCCCTGTCTCCTGCCCCCAGGACGGCCCCGCTTCCCCTTACACAAGCTCTCCTGGACGTCAGCAGCTGGGCTGCTGGGAGAGAGGAGTGTGAGGGGCAGTGCGGGAGCTGCGCGCAGGCTGAGCGGGGTGGGAGTCTTTGGGAGAGGTCTTGCCTCTTCTGCCGGCCTCTGTCCTCGAGCACTGATGCTGCGGCCGCTGCAGGAAGTTGGGAATCAGCCTCCAGCCCACCCCAGAACCCTTCTCTAGAGTTACAGTAAAATCTGCGAGGGCCTACAAACTGATAAGATTATAATCCCTTCCCACCTCCATAAAGAAGTCAAGAGAAAAATCTAAACCATAAAATACAAAACTTGAATGTGTTTTCAAACATTCATAAGTTTTAAAAAATCGAATAAAATACGTGTACGCTCATATTTAATCTCTAGATTTTCTCATTCGGAGATGCTGGAGGGGTTTTCTAACCTGATTTCACCCGTCTCTTAGGTTTCCCTTTGGCTGGTGCCCTAAGTCCACCACCTCCAGGGGCCTGGGTCACCCTGTTCCCTACTCACCCGACTTCCTGCGTCTGCTCTGACCCCGGTGTCGGACGAGGAGGACGAGGGGCAGCAGGACGAAGGCCACCGAGACCCCAATCAGGACATTCAGGTACCATTTGAGACCTGGGGCACCAGTGACATCATGAGTGAGCCCAAGATGCCATTTAATTGAGCGCCTACTGTGTGCAGGCTCGTGCTGGGGTCTGTGCATTCATCTCCTCTAACTTTCACAACAATCATGCAACAGTGACTGTCACTCCCACCCACTTTACAGATAAGGAGACTGAGGCACAGAGGAAACGCACATGCCCCAGGCCACCCAGCCTGGATGTGGCAGAGCTGGGGTTGGAACCCAGGACTGTGGGTTCCCTTGTATTTTTTTAAAATTATTTTTTTAATGCTGTCGCCTCCAGGCAGAACACCAGTGCAGAGACGTGTCCCTCAAACCCAACCCCTACTCCTCTGCCAGCCCAGCCCAGATCTGTCCCCACTCTGCAGAGGACTGGCATCCCCCCATGGGGCCCATGTGGACAAGAGGGTGTGTGTCTGGGAGGGGCAGGCAGGAGGCTCTGGCCTTCCTGAGCTCTAAACAGGGCCTGTGCTGAGGGCTCCCTGTTGAGGGAGGAAGCAGGAGGGCTCCTCCACGCAGGTGAGCCTCGGACTCTGCGAGGAACATGACTCGGCCAAGATCACAAGCCTGGGAGGTAGCAGAGCGGTGACTTCCAAGCCCTGTCCTTCCCTGAGCCCACGGCCGCTCCTTGCAGGGCTGAAGCCCCTGACTTCAAGCAGGAGGGCGCAGACACCATCCCCACGCACAGTGTGGGAGCAGACTGCTTGCCCTTTGCCCAGTGAGAAGAAGGAACTTTTCTCAGGCCATTAACTCAGGAAGTGGCTGAGCCAAGACCAGACTGAGCTCCTCCCACCGCCTCTCCACAGAGACCCTCACTCACCTGTCTGCACGCCTGACCCTGGGGGGGAGAAGCTGGTCCTCAGAGCCTCCTGGGGGTCAGGACAGGAGGGGAGGGCCAGGGCCTGCTTCTCCCCACACAGCCCACTGCTCCTGCCCCAGGATGGTCCCCGACATCCTCTCCATGACCCCCCACCCTTCATCCACCAGCCACAGAGCCCCAGGAGCCCTTTGGTCTCCCTGCATCTGTGCCTGGCTCTGGAACACAAGCTGTGCCAGGGCCTGTGATCTTGGTCCCTTGGGGACTGAGGCCTCTGCTAGCCACCCGCTCTTGTGTCGTTCTCTCAGGGTGAGGGGCTACGAGGATTGGGGACCAGAGGAGGATGGAGATGGGGGGCGGGGCTCTGGTCTTTTCCCTTCTGGTCAGCCCCGAGTCTTCCCCACCACCTGGAACATGTCTGGACCCCAGGGATGAGGGTGGTGCAGGGAAGGGAGTCGCTCTGGCCTTGTCCATCCCTTTACTGTTGATTCCCCTCCTTCTGTGATCCCCTCACTCCCAGCCCAGCCCAGAGCTGGGGACAGGACCCTGAACTGACCAGGAAGACACAGAGGGCCAGGGCTGGGGTCCCTCACCTGAGAGCAGGAGCTCCAGGGGGCGCCGGGCTGTGACATGAGGGAGGGGGAGGTGCTGAGTGAGCTGTAGCACGTGTAGTCCCACTGTGGCTAGCCACCCGCTCTTGTGTCGTTCTCTCAGGGTGAGGGGCTACGAGGATTGGGGACCAGAGGAGGATGGAGATGGGGGGCGGGGCTCTGGTCTTTTCCCTTCTGGTCAGCCCCGAGTCTTCCCCACCACCTGGAACATGTCTGGACCCCAGGGATGAGGGTGGTGCAGGGAAGGGAGTCGCTCTGGCCTTGTCCATCCCTTTACTGTTGATTCCCCTCCTTCTGTGATCCCCTCACTCCCAGCCCAGCCCAGAGCTGGGGACAGGACCCTGAACTGACCAGGAAGACACAGAGGGCCAGGGCTGGGGTCCCTCACCTGAGAGCAGGAGCTCCAGGGGTCGCCGGGCTGTGACATGAGGGAGGGGGAGGTGCTGAGTGAGCTGTAGCACGTGTAGGTCCCACTGTGGGCTGAGGTCACAGGACTCAAGGTGAAGCTGTTCTGAAAGGGTGGAGCCGTGTCCTGCAGACGAAGGTGCTGGGGAGGAGTGAGTGACCCCTCCTTGGACAGATGCAGTGGATCGGACCAGACCTCAGAGCCACACTGCAGGGTCACATTCTCTCTGCAGGGTCCTGAGGCCCACAGCTGGGCTGAGAGGGAGGGTTTCCTGTACATTCCTGGGGGCGAGGAAGGTCGGGATGTGTACAGAGCCACCCCCAACACACCCTTGACCCTGAGCTGAGGGACCACCATCCTCTCTCCAGGGACCCTGTCTGTGACCCCCTCTCAGCTGCTCTCAGCCCCTCTGTGTGGGTCTCTCTTATCTCCCGGCACCGCTCCATTTTCCTCTCCCTGGACCACTGCCCTATCTCAATGTCTGCTCTAGGACCCCTCCCAGGACCCCATCACCACCAGGGGTGGCTCTGGGCCCAGCACCCTGAGAACACAGTCAGGACGTGGGGCAGGACCGGGGCTGCTCACCGGCGATCAGGCTGTCTCCACGGAGCACGAGTGAGCCTGGCTGGGCTGAGACGGAGGGCTCCCTGTACACGCCTGCAGAGAAGGGACAGTGGCACCGAGGGGGACGCACACCCCACACTGCTCACTGGGGCTGCAGTGAGAGCTCTCCCTGGTCCCTCCCAGGCCTCCCGCCAGTGGTTCTGCCCCGGGAGGCCACTGCCCCTGACCCCCCATCACCCCAGGGCTCACTGGGCACAAGGCTCAGGTCAGGGGTCCAGGAAACGATGGGGCTGGGGGCCCTCACCTGTGACCTGGCGATGCAGAGGGTGACTGGGGTGTGACCACACATGTGCAGGGAGCTGGGAGAATCATAGCATCCGCAGGTTCCCCCACGGGAGGAGTTTAGGGGGCCCACAGGGCACACGGCCTGTCCCCTCCCATGGGTCCTCGATGTCCGGTGTCGGGCGGGTCAGCACCTCCCTCCTTCAGCAGGTGCAAAGTGCCCCCTGCAAACTGTGAGCTGCATGCCAGGGACACGCTCCCTCCTGAGGCCACCACAGGGCGTGGCTGGGCTGAGAGGGAGGGGCTCTGTGCACCCCTGAGGGAGGGGAAGGGGCTGGGTTAAAGGGGGGCCTTCACCCCGCTCACTGCAGGTGTGGGCTGGGAGGGGAGACGTCCGTCCCCCTGAGCCCACACTCTGCTCCCTCTGCCTGTAAGGACGCCGCCGCAGTGGGAGGGGACCCGGGTCCTCCCTCCTACCTGTCCCCACCAGGGGCAGGGGGGTCACTCCACTCTGACCTGTCTTTCCTGCTGCGATAGACACACTGATACTGCCCTGCGGTGCTTGAGCTCGAGGATTCGAAGGGGAAACTGGCCTTGTTACTGGAGTCCTGTGGGGCCTTAGCCTCCCAGAGTCCAGAGGGCCTCTCTCTATACAGACGGTAATCATCAGCCCTCAGAGATCCTGGAGATAAGATGGTCACAGGGCTTCCCTTGGCGACCATGACACCTGGGTCAGCCCAGATGGAGGGTTTGGTGAGGACCCCTGGAAAGGGATCCGACCAGAAGAGTTAGGGGTGCCCTTCTCCCCTCAGTTTCCCCAGCTGTCATTCCCCAGGCCCCTCCCAGACAGGTCACCATCATTTCAGACCTGCCGTGTTCCCCGCAGATGACCAGGGGGTTGTTGGGTTGAAGGAGGAGGTCTGGGGGGGGCCTCACTTTCTTGGACCTGGTTCCACGGGCCCTGACTCAGCCCTGGGAGAGAGTTCTCTGTGAGCGCCCATCCCCCAGCACACATCATAGATGCTCCAGGCCTGGTCTGGGCCCTGAGTTCTGGGGTCAGATCTGGGGCTGAGCACAGCCTTCCTCCCCCACAATTTCTGCCCCCACTGATCTCCTGAGACCTGGGGTCTCTCAGCTTCAGACCTGGGAGGAGAGGGGCCCCTTTCCCCCTCCCTTCCCCAAAGCTCACTGAGGCAGAGAAGGGCAGGGAGGGCCGGGGGCGTGGCTGGGCCTCCCATGCCCCCCAGCCGTGCTGGTGTCTCACAAAGTCCACAGAGCCAGACAGATGCACGGGGGGTGACAAGGTGCAGACTCTTGTTACACATCGGGTTCCTTCATAGCAGCCTCTCAGAAAGAGGAATAGCCCCCCCCAGGGCCTCATGCTGCTCTACCTGCAGAATGGGGCCCAGGAGACAGCAGTCTCTGGGGATGTTTCAGGCCAGATCTGAGACTCACCAGATCCCCCTCCCCAACTCTGCCTTCCTGTCCTACCTCATGCCAAATCCAAATCCAGAGAGTGACATAACATCCCAGAACATGAGGCTAGAAGAAGCAGGCCCAGGAGCTACCCCAATACCTGTTCCCATTCTTATTCTGCCTCTTACGTAGGCTGTGTGATCTGGGGCAAGTAACTTCCCTTTCCTGAGCTTCTGTAAATGCAAGTTTTGTTCCTTTCTTTCATCAGCTAGTCCAGTAAGGCAGTATTGAGCAATGACCATGTTCAGTCATGGTGCCAGACACTGGAGATTCACTGGTGAAGCCGACAGATTCCTTTCCTGGACTCATGGGGCCCAGAGTACTGAAAACAGACATTGCAAATATTTACATGGCAAACAATTCAGTTATAGTCTTGTGAGACTGTTACAAGTTGGAAGAAAAAAGAAAACAGGGAACAATGAGTTTAATTAACAGGTAGATGCCATGAAGCCTGGGTCCTGGTTGTGAGGTGTCCTTCTGGTGGATTGATGAGCAGTAGTTAGCTCAGGGGTGGTGGTTGTGGTGGTGGAGGCATCCTTGACCAGAAAGATCTTGAGCTGTTCTCAGAACTGAGAGCAATTAGGCGAGGGCTGGGGCCTTGCCACACAGGATCTTGAGCGCCATGTAAGTATTTTGGATGTATCTTTAAAGCAATTGGAAGATTTTAAGCAGCAGAGAGTATGAACAGATTTCTATTATAAAACGATTACCACCATATAGAAAATGTAACGCAGGAGGGCTATATTGATAATTAACTCTATTAATAGTAGAATTCCAACATTAATCTCTCTCCTGGATGATGTGTTGATCAGTATTTTAAGTCATTTATGTGGTTTTCTCCTATAAACCTTACATGAACTTATAACAACGTATATTTATAGTTGAGTGGAATGAAAAAGGAAGGCTTCTTGGTCTGGCAGGTTGGAAAGGACATGGCTCTGTTCACACTGGCTAAGGGGGCAGTCTGAGGAGGTGCAGAATTGTTCAGTAGCTCTGTGTATGTGTGTGTTTGGGGGAGACATGGTTATGTGTGATGAGTTTGGCTCGGGAGGGAGAGCGGCGTTTGCTGGGGCTGATCATTCACAGCCTGGAATATCAGATGATGCACCTTGACTTTGTTTCGAAGGTGGAAACTGTTGGAAGGGTTTTGAGCAGGGCAGGTTCAGATCCGATGGCGGTTATAGGAAGAGTCCTTGGAGGTGGTGAGAGGAATGAGCTGGAGTAAGGAGTGGAGCCTGGATTGGAGGACCAGGAAGGAGGCTGATGTGATGAAACAGACAAGATGTCCTGAGCCTTGTGATGGATCAGGGACATTGTTAAGAAGGGCTCAAGGAGCACAGTGTGTGGATTTGGTGGTTGGATGTGAAGTGCAGGAGACTGGGGAACTGAAAGCGTTCCCACGCTCTGCCTTGGTTTCCTGGAGGAGCCAATGGGGTGATCATAAATGGGGTGACCCCAGGAGAGAGGGACACATGGGGAGATGCTTGGAAGACTGATCACGTTCCTTAGAGTGAAGCACAGCCCTGCCTCCTGACCTGGGACTGGATTTTGTTTTCCCCAAATACTTCCCTTCACTGACTTCCTTGTGCCTATAATTCAGCACCATCTTTTTTCATCTCCCTTCTTCAAAACTTCTGAGTCAGTTCTGCCTCCTCAGTGCCCCTTCCTCCCCTGGGCAGAACTCTTCATCTCATTCTGTGAATTCTTTCTCCAGGCGTGGGGTAAGAGCATAGGTTGGAAGCAAAGATTTTTTAAAATGAACAACACCCAGGATCTGTGAGGCCATTTATATCATCGCTGTGCCAGCAAAAGGAGAATGATATCAATGAACAAAAAAAAATTTTTGAGGAGCTAAATACTGACGATTATACAGATTTTTTTTGATGTGGACCACTTTTTTAAAGTCTTTATTGAATTTGTTATAATATTGCTTCTGCTTCATTTATTTATTTATTTATTTATTTATTTATTGGCACTGAGACATGTGGGATCTTAGCTCCCTGACTAGGTATTGAACCTGCACCCCCTGGCGAAGGCAAAGTCTTAACCACTGGGCCACCAGGGAAGTCCCCACATTTGTTGAAAGTCATCCATTTACATGTCCAAGATGCTCCACAAATGAAAAATTGGATAAGATTTTAAAACGATGCCCAAGAGGGCACACAGCAGAAGCAAGAAGAACTACAATCCTGCAGGCTGCAGAACAAAGACAACAATCACAGAAAGACAGAAAAAATGAAAAGGCAGAGGATTATGTCCCAGATGAAGGAACAAGATAAAACCCCAGGAAACCAGCTGAGTGAACCAGCTAAGTGAATTGGAGATAGGCAACCTTCCAGAAAAAGAATTCAGAATAACGATAGTGAAGATGATCCAGGATCTTGGAAAAGGAATGACGAAAATGCAAGAAATGTGGAATGCGGAATCTTAAAAAAATGATACAAACGAGCTTACTTACAAAATAGAAACAGTCTCAGAGAATAAACTTATGGTTACCAGGGTTAAGGGTGGTGGGGAAGGATAGGGAGTTTGGGATTGACAAAAAAAGAAATTGTGTATCACTATATTGTATACTTGTAACATATAATATTGTATATCAACTATACATCAATAAAAAAGTAAAATAAAATAAAATAAAAACGATGCCTACACATCACAATCATAATGAAACCAGTGGGAAAAAATTTGAAAGCATCCAGAGAAAAGTGCCAGGTTCCATGCAGAGCAAAAAGGATTTGAACGATTACAGATTCCACATCAGAAACCACTATGGTCAGATTTATAGTTCTGAAAGACAAGAAGAGCTAACCTGGACTTCTTCTGGATATATTCTTCAGGAATGAAAGCAAAATAGTCATTCTTAGAGGAAGGAACACAGAGAATGTGTTGCCTGCAGAACTGCTCTAAAAAAAGTGATAAGGTAAGTTCTTCAGGCAGAAAGGAAATAATTCTAGAGGGAAACTTGGAAGTTCAACAATAAAGGAAGAGTAAAAGGTGGTAAATATCTGAGTAAATGTAACAGCATATTTTTCTCGTTTCCTCTTAAGTTCTTTAAAATATGTGTGGCTGTTGAAAGCAAAAATAACAATGTCTGGTTGGGCTTTTAATATATGTAGATGAATACATATAACAGCTACAACATGATGGGGAATGAGGGTGAAAGGACTTGTATGGTGATAAGGTTTCTGTGTTTCTCTTTAAAAAAAAAATTATTTATTTATTTGGGTGCTCTGGGTCTTAGTTGCGGCACACGGGATCTTCATTGAGGCATGTGCGATCTTTAGTTGCGGCATGCAAACTCAGTGGCATGCGAACTCTTAATTGCAGCATATGGGATCTAGTTCCCTGACCAGGGTTCGAATCTGGGCCCCCTGCATTGGGAGCATGGAGTCTTAGCCACTGGACCACCAGGGAAGGCCCCTATGTTTCTTTTGAAGAGTTAAAATACTAACTCTGTGGAATTAGGTGTGTGTATTATAATGCCTGCAACAGCCACTAAAAAAACAACATGTGAAGATTTTCAGTTAGAATATCAATAGATACAATGGAATACTAAAAATATACTCCAAAAAGCAAACAGAAGGAAGGGAAGGGAAACTTGAAGAGCAAACAATAGAGGGGATAAAGAGATGACAAACAATAAAAGGGAAAATGTAAATACAGCCTTGTCAGTAATTACATTAAATATAAATGGTGAAAGCACAATTAAATGGCAGAGATTGTAAGACAGGATTAACAACAAGTAAGACCCAAGTATATGCGGTCCTCAAGAGGTTCACTTAATACAGTGGTATGAACAGGTTAAAAGTGGTATAAATAGGTTAATAGGATGAAAGAAAGTATTATGCAAACATTCATCAAAAGAAAGCTTACGTGGCTGCATTAGTCTCCTATTGGTGTTGTAACATATTACCACAAACTTAGTGGCTTTAAGCAACACAAATGTGTTGTCTTACTGTTCTGGAGGTCACAGATGCAAAATCAGTCTCAGTGGGCTAAAGTCGAGGTGTCAGCAGGGCTGCTTGCTCTTAGTGGCTTTGTGGTGAGAATCTGTTTCCTTGCCTTTTTCAACTACAAGGGTCTGCCTGCATGCAGTACCTGGCTTGTGGCCCCTTCCTTCCATCACTCCAACCCCTGTTATCACATGTCCTACCCCTGATTCTGATCCTTTTGTCTCCCTCTTACAAGAAGCCTTGTGAATACAATGGGCTCACCCAGATTACCTAGGATAATGTCCCATCTCAAAATTCTTAATTTAGTCACATCTGCAAAGCCCCTTTTGCTATGTAAGGTAACATATTCACAGGTTGCAGGGATTAGGGCTTGGATATCTTTGGGACAGCAAGGAAGTGACATTACCTTCCTTGGTGGCTGTGCTGTACAAGACAGTACAATAAAATGTATCAGAGGCCTTAGAGCAAGAAAATTATCAGGGGTAAAGATAAAAAGGTCAATTCATCAAGAAGACATAGTAATCCCAAATGTGTGCACACAAAACTGCAGAGCTCCAAGGTATATAAAGCAAAAACTGACAGAAATGAAAGGACAAGTAGATAAATCAACAGTTATAGTCAGGGACTTTGAGACTCCTCTCTTGGTAAGTGATAGAGCAAATAGATGGCCAATCAGCAAGGATATAGAAAACCTTGACTATACTATCAACCAACTTGACCTAACTGGCACACAGAGCACACTCAACCAATAGCAAAATACACCTTTTTCAAGTGTGCATGGGATACTGGCCAAGATAGTCTTCATCCTT